GTATGCATTAGCGTGTGTTAGTACGTTAAACTGTTAGTTCCGTGTGTTAGGAAGGCTGATGTCTGTAGCTGTGCGTATTTGTGAATGCTGGTTTCTAAAGCTACTGCTTTGAAGGCAAAATTGGCCAAACAGCTGGTATACATCTGTACTCTCTGCATTACTGTTAATCAACTATGCACTCCTGTATGAGAACAGTCAGTTCTCCTTCCGCTAAGTCATCCCTGTGGCACAGAGGCAATGTAGATATTAGGTTTACTTATCCAGATATGGATTTATATCTCCCACATGGACAACAAAGGATCAGCCAACAGACTCTGTTGAAGCGACATCCAATCTGTCCTTCCTTGGCTCCCGGCCAGCCAGTCCTGGTGCAGCCAGAGTTGTGGGAAGAGAGAGTATCTAGCTGTCAGCTGCATTGGACCAGGGTTTACTCTCCAGGGACCGTGCTAGTTAGCATTGAGCGTAACTATTGAAACAGTCTGGGCACAGCAGTAACCGCAGGTGTGAGCGAGTCAGTCTTTAGTGGGCAGAAACTCTGCATTCGGCGTAGCGCTACTTCTGAATAAACTATTCAGATGTTGACAAAGAGTCCCAGCCGTATGCTCCGGTGATCAGACGGGTCCACATTGGCTTTGCTAGCAGTTTACAAGGCCTTGCTGCTGGCTGGACCTCGGGCAGAATTCTGTCTTTAAGTACGGGCTTCCTCTAGCTCAGTGATTAGAACAAAGGTCAAGTCCCAATGCAGACAACACTGGCTGTCACGTGATTGTCTCTGAGGGTGCATGAGAGCAGAAGGAAGAGCGAAGTTCTGAGCCTGTCCGTGGCCTTTTAACCAGAGCCAATACGGCTGATGATTGGTCAAGAGGTTGGGGAGTATTTGGGGTTTCCACGCCCTTCAGGTTCCTGATTGGTTGGTCACCTTAGGAATGAGTAATCATGACCTCTAACATCTAGGATCATAAACCAGTTGGGATTAGTCTCACTTGGACAACAAGGCACGCCAGGAATGGTCATCCATCATGACTAATTGGCACATCCTGACTAGTGGGTGCATCCCCATCCTAGGAGGTTTTCCTTACTAGAAAGACAAACATTTTAAATCAGAAACTACATGGATGCCTTCT